GTGGCCAAGCTTAATTTGATTAAATATATTATACTGTATTTTAAAGTAAACTGTTGATTGAAAGAGTGGTTTACTCTTCTTCCAGACATTGTATCTTAAGTTCTCTGTCTTGTGTTCAATTCTAGATCGATGCCATTTTGTTTTCTGTTCTTTGCATCTTTAGTCGGCAACCTGGTTCGAATCACGGTGCATTTTGAACACAGTTTTTTTTTTCCTTCGTGTTTTACTTTTTCACCGCATTCAACTTTTACTTTTTAAATATATTTTTACTGTGATGTGATTAAATCTGAAACCTATTTTAATTTTTAAATATTATTTTCTACAAAAATGTATTGTTCATTTCAAATAAATAATTATAACTTTGACGTCTCATCAGAATTTTTAACAAATTTAAATTTATGATCTTTTCTTTAGTACTAAATTTATGATAACTTATATAAATGTCATAATTTTTATCTCTCTATTAAAAAAATACCAAAACTCTCTAATTTAATAAAAATCAAGTTTCTTAAATTAAGTTGAATGAGTACACATTTACTATTAAATATACCTTGCAAAACTTATACATTTAAGCTAACTTTTTTTTTCTTCCTAAAACTAACTAAACAAAGCTTAAAAAATATATATAAAAACTCTAACTTGTTTTTTTTTCTTTTCTAAATCATATCAATTAATTCATACCAATTTTTTTTTTCATTTGAAAATCTCTCAAAAGGTCAAATTTGCGACACGTGAAAATTACAATACTTTGTCAGGTGCAAATTGATTGGTCAAGTTCAATTTCAAACTTAATATTTTTACATTATGTTTATATGCATTTCTGCCCCAACGTTAAATCCTGGATCCGTCATTGCTTCTTTCTTTCTGACTAATTATAAAGTGTATTAATCTTTTTTTAACTCAGATAATATTAAATTTTATTTTATTTTATAACTATATTGATAATAAATATTTTCATTAACAATTTATTTAAAATTAATAAATAATTAATATTTAAAATAAAATTACATCAACTAAGATACTTTTTTTATTAGAGCAACCCTCATTTAATATAAAATATATTTTAATATTTAACGATAATAAATTATATTTTAAAAAATTCATGGATTAATAATAACAAAATAAAATTAAACAATTAAATATAAATTTATAATATCTTATAATAAAATCACATTAACTAATAAAATTGATTAAATTTTTATTTAAAAATTAATGATCAGTAATATAAATGAAAAAGAAGTAATCAAAGAATAAAACAATTAATAAAAAAGGTTGCTGAGTCTTATTAATAATGGGAGAGAAAGTATAAAAATAGTAAAGTAACTATAATAAATGTTTCAGGTCCCGAAATAAATAATGAGAATGAGATTGATGAGAGCGTAGAAGATGAATGACATTACCTCTTGTTTGTCTCTTCCCTCTCCTCTCGGTTTACATTGCAACGAGAAAAAATCATAACGAAATTAATTGAAATAAAAATGTTATTTCTTTAACGTTGTTTACCATAAAGTTTTGGAAATCGAAATTCAACTCTTATGATGGTTGTTGGACTAAAACCGTCCGAAAGCATAATAAAAATCAAATATATAATAATTACTAATATTTTCATTTCTTATTTCTAGCTAATTACAACTACGTTAATTAAAAATTGGTAATATTTTTACTTAAAATAATAATAAATTTTTATTTATTTTATAATAAAATACATTAAAAAGAGTTAGTGTTAGGTGAAAATTGAGCCGCCAAGATGGAGAACATGTTAAGCGACACATGGTAGCAGGGACCAACTCCAGTACAGACAACCTTGCAACACATCCTGCTGTGGTCAAGATGGCAGGCAACGGAGGCGATACCACGCACCGAGAATTTTCCCTGACAACCCACTAGAGCCCGTATGCAAATGGAACCCACCGCATCCCACACCAAGCGTCCTCTTTAATTTAATCGGCTCTGTCACCTATAAAAAGTAAGTAAAAAAGTTTGTCGCTCAATAATACACTCAGTGCTCTCCATTTTCCACCTCTCTTGAAGTTCCCTAACTTGACCATAGGAGGACCTTAGGCAGAGCACCACACTAGTGGCGAGTGTTAAGGATACCGATACTCTTGTATCCTAAGTACGTCCCAAATGGTATGATATCATCCGCTTTGGGCATAACCCTCACAACTTTGCTTTTTGTTTCACCCAAAATGTCTCATATCAATATAGAGTTAATTATCCTCTCTCTGGCATTCTCTCGACTAGCCAATGTGGGATTATGTTTGTATTCACCAACAAACCCACAAACCCAATATCAAGATCTATTCTTACTTCTTGCAGGTTGTCATTCTTTTACCTAGTCAATGTGGGACTTTATTTACGTTTACCAACAAATCCAATATCGAGGTCTGTTCTTGAAGGTTGACTTGTCGGTCCTATGACACATGGAGTAGTCGAATTTCAACATGAATAGTTTTTATAATTTAAAGTAAACATTAGTAATATAAATAAAAAAGGACATATTAAAATTGTAAAACAATTAATAAAGAAAGGATTGTGAATCTCCCTGAGAGAGTGAGGAAAGAAATTGTAAAATAATTATTAAAAACATGTGCAAGTCGTAGAATTAATAATAAGAATGAGATCCATTAGGTGGGCAAGAAGATTGGCGATTTTGTTTTTTTATGAAGAACATTGAATGGGTGCTTTCTCACTCAAATCTTTCTTGATCTTGTTCAAATCCTTGTTCTTAGTCTTCATAATTTTGGTTCATTTTAGTCTTTTATATTTTTTAAATATTGGATTTGGCTCATCTACTTTATTTTAGTTCCTCTATTTTAAAAGTATTCATTTTGATTCTTATATTTTTAAAAAGTAATCATTTTGGTCTCTTCATTTTATTTTAAATTTTTTTTTTCCATCACAACTTCAACCCCACATTACAATTTTATGTTTAAAATCCTGCGAAGAGAAATTAAAATAATCACTTTTTAAAATTAGAGGAATCAAAATGAATATTTTAAACGTACGCAATAAATCTAAGTTAAAAATATATGAATATTTTATTATCATTATCATTATCATTATTATTTTATTATTTAAAGAGTTCTGAAATGAGACGCTGGTGGCTTTTTCAGAGTTGCCTCCATTAGCGTGCATCCATTTCGGAGAAAAAAAACTTTTTTATTATATATTTCGCTCTTTTTCCCTCACACACGTGTTCCCTCGCCCTCCCTTCCTTTTTCCTTTTTCCTTTTCTCCTCCATTTTTCCTTTTTTTTTTCCACCTCATTTATTATGAAACTAAATATTTTATAGATGTACATTGAACAAGTCATGCTTGTTCTCCAAGGCCACACTTTCTTAGCTTAGCTTGTTGCCCACATCTTTGGGGTTTGAAAAAGAGTCAGATTCATGCTTGATGGCCAAGCTAAATAATTTAGCCATAGATAATAAGGGTGAAATCTAGACGACAACACTAACACGATATTTATTTGAAGGGAATAAGAATTAAAGAGTGAGAATCTATTTTTCAGTGTTTATCCAAATGACAATGACAATTTCATTTCATACGCTCTCATCAATTATATTCCCACTATTTATGTTGTAGCTCCACGTATTTGTTATAGTTACTTTATTACTTTTATAAATTTTCTCCTATTTATTAACGAGACACGTAACTTTTGTAATTAATTATTTTATACTTTGATGATTTTTTTTCATTTGTATTATTATGAAAATTTATAAAACTAAAACAAGTTGCGACGTCGCGTTCAGAAGATCTTGGCCTAGAGTAGAGGCAAGGTAGAGCCGTGGGGCTTGGCCTAGCATAGAGGCAAGCTAGCTAGAGTCGCATTAGAGTTTAAATGCACGTACGGGCGACGTGCATTGCCGAGTCACGTGAGAATTCCGCTGCAAGTGAAGCTCGGTCGAGGAAGAAAGAACCTCGCCTAAGGTTCGATGAAGCCACAAAGGGGCGCGAAAAATGGATTGGAGCTAGAGTTTCTCGTAAGGCTGGCCATGGTCGAGCTTAGATCATGGCGCCGCATGGTTGAAAAATGTACGACCGTGATATTTGGTATCAGATTAGCCGATGTGATTTTATTATAAAATATGATAAATTTACATTTAATATTTATTTTATTTTACTTTGTTATTATTAATTAATATCAATAATTTTTTAAAATATAATTTATTGTTATTAAATATTAGAATAATGAAATTTAATAACATTTTATAAAATGATGGTTCTTCTAATAAAAGAAATATTTTAATTGATATAATTTTATTTTGATCATTCATTATTTATTAATAATTAAATAAATTGTTATAATAAAGAATATTTACTGTAAATAATATAATAATATAGTAATAGAATAAATTAAAATTTATATTATTTATGTATTTGTAATTAGAAAAAAAAAAGAAGAAAAAGGTGTACCATTAATTTTTACCTATCCAATTTCGATTTGGATTCTAAAAGTTTCGATAAATAACAAAGAAATAACATTTCTATTCCCATTGAAAGATAAAGAGAAAAAGGATAGAAAAAGACTGAAGAAAATTATCTACCTATTTCTCTCTCTCTCTTTCTTGCTTTTCTCTCCTCATCCCTCTCCGTCCCCTTTTTCCTCTCCCCTGTCTCTCCCCACTACTCGCCTTGTTTACTTGCAACGAAAAAGAAACGAAATCAGACTCTTATTGTTGTTCAGTAAAACTGTCTAGAATAAGTATAAATTAAAATAATTAAAATTTTTAATTTGTTTTATAATAAAATGCATTAACTAAGAAAAGTGAGTGTTGGTTGAAAATTGAGCTGCACGCGTGGGAACGCGCTAAGAGACATGCGGTGGTAGGGATCAACTCCACTGTAGACGTACGATCTGCGTAGGGAGAAACAATATCAGGACTAATAATGACGTACAGAAAGCCATGAACGTGTCCAGCTGCGGGTTAGGGTGGTAGGCAACGGGGGCAATACCACATACGGACAATGATCCTCTAACAATCCACCAGAGCTCATATGTAAATGGAGCTCACCACATCCCAAGCCAGACGTCCTCCATAGTCGGCTCTGTCACCTATAAAATGGATAGGATCCCACCTTGCAAAATAATTAAAAAACCTGTCATGCAATAAGTTAAGTGCTCTCTATTTTCCACCTCTCTTTCTACTTTACTAACTTGATCAAGGAGGACCATGCAACGGTGTTAAAGTCTGTTGTTGCAGGTTGACTTGTCCAACGACTTTATCGAATGACACGAGGACGAGGACCACTTAGATTCGGCATGTACCATTAGTATAATTTAGAATAAACAATAATAATACAAATTAAAAAATTATTAAAACTGAAAAACAATTAATAAAGGAAATCGTGGATCTGTCGAAATTGTAAAATAATTATTAAAAATACGTTTGACTCGTAGAATCTAGAATAAGAAGTGAACTAGTAGGTTATAGAAAATAAAGGAGATTCCCGTATTTAAGAGGTCGGCGATTTTTGTTTTACAGGGAAGAAATGGTAGTGAGTGCTGAGTGGTGTGCTAAGAGCGTGCATGTTCAGTTTTTCTAGGAAACAAACATGTGAAAACTGAACAATCTGACAACTGTTTTTTTTTTATTATTATGTTTTAGTTACTTTTTCACAATCTATAGCTCAAGGAAGAAGTAAAAAAGAGACCAAGAAAGCTTCATCCAACTTTTGATCATGGGTTCCGAAAATCAGCTTTTTCCCGTACGTTTTCGGATCAAATCGAAGCGATTAAGAAATAATTTCTCAATAATTATCACTATTGGAATATCGAAATTGTTGTGTAAAATAATCTCCTTCACCTTCACGTGTAAAATTGAGATAAGAATTTCTAAGACGTAACTAAAAAAATCAACAGCTTCCATTCTCGCAACTTCTTCCATCATCAACAATCTCTTCGATCAGCAACTTGAGATTCCGGTGAGACGAGCCCCCTTCTTGTACTGCTCTCTTTGCTTTCTCAGCAAGTTGTTTGCATCTCTGTCTCATCTCCTCGCTCCCATCTCCATCCATCGCCATTTCTATGGCTTCTCTCACACTTTCTCTCTTCACCAACACTCCTATCTTTTCTTCCTCTCCCCAAGGAACAGCCGTTTCCGCGCCCACACTCACGCCGATCCTAACTATCTCTACTAATAACTTCTCGTTGAAAACTTGATCCGCAAAGAGCGGCCAAGTGATCATTGGCACGCCTGCAGACATCCCCTCGATGCTCGAATTCCAACCGCAGTGCGTCAAAAAGCACCCAGTGGAAGAGTGTGACAGTATCATCACCTGCGGAGCCCACCCTCGAATCACCAGCCCTCTCCSTTTTGTCCTCCCCTCAAAATCGTACTCCTCCATCCAATCCAGCA